GATCTGAGAGTAATGGTGGAGCAAAGCAAAGATTTTTCTAATGTGGGTGTTTCAAGTTAGTGACTAAGCTCCACATTTAGATACTAAATAAGTGGCCTCATTTCTAAAGAGGTGGAGGCTTCCTGTACATGGGATTCGGGTGCTCCAACTTCAGGAGCTTGGATAGAGTCTGGCCTTCCGTTTTTATTGGGAGGTTTTCAGCACTTCTGGACACTTGGCACTAACATAGGTGGAGCTGTGAGCTCGCTGGGCTTAGAAAGCACAACTCCTCTATCAGATCCAAAGCATGGTCCCAAAAAAAAGCCTCTGTGCAAAATGCCTCCGTGGTAACATGTAGAGATCTGGACCAAGCTGAGACACAAAGCTGAGTGGTCACGGAGATGGTGGCCCAGTGCTAAGGTTAGAGCATTAGGCTTCCTTTTTCCTTTCTGCTTTTCCTCCCCATCGCTTGGCAGCTCCTCTCTTAGCAGCTGCCTCTTGGCTGACTGGCTGGCTGGGTGTTCCTGATGAGTTCAGCAAAAAAGGTACAAGCACATTAACTTGGAAACACTCTACCCATCTGCCAAGGTGGGATAAATGTGACTGTCCCTAAACCAATGTTTCCCAGCCCAGTTTTTATGCCGTTTTGCAGGGTAGATAAAGCAGAGTCTTGCCTGCTGATGCTGAGTGAGAAAAGAAACATTAATTTGCTGAACAGATCAAGTTTAGCAGCAGTGGGAGGCCCATCACCTCCATGTTCACTCCCAAATCAGGAAACAAATCAGGGCGAGGGGCACGTCGTCCCATCTGTAGGCACACTGACAAGCAGGGTTGACAGCTTGTCTGCTGCCTGGTCTTTATCATCAAAAAGTAATTTGCTGTGAAAAGAACTGCAAAGAGAAGTTGGGGTAGGAAAGGATGGTGATCAAGGCCCCACGGCTGGGGTATAACTCTGATGTGTCTTTCTGTTCCTGGGGTCTGGGGATGTGGAAGATCAGCTCTTAGAGTAGCAGAGAAGAAGTTGTGATGTTTTAGCTGCTTTCTAAAGCAAGACCAGATGCAGGCAGCTCTCAAAAGCAGAATCATAGAAAATCAAAGGTAGTGCAGTGAGAGACGCAGAAGTGATCAAGGCCCCACGGCTGGGGTATAACTCTGATGTGTCTTTCTGTTCCTGGGGTCTGGGGATGTGGAAGATCAGCTCTTAGAGTAGCAGAGAAGAAGTTGTGATGTTTTAGCTGCTTTCTAAAGCAAGACCAGATGCAGGCAGCTCTCAAAAGCAGAATCATAGAAAATCAAAGGTTGTGCAGTGAGAGATGCAGAAGATGGAGAATGGAGAATGGAGAAGATGGGGATGGAGAAGCAGAAGAGATCGTGTTTCTGTTACGTTTCAATGTGTGGGAAATTCCTGTTGAGTTTCTCTAACAGTGAAGATTTGGGTGTGTGAGCTGTGGGAGCAGCAGACAGAGTGCCCACGCTGGTGAGGTTCTGTTGCATGTCCCTTGTGTCCTTGCAGAGGCTGGTTGTTTGCCTGGAGGAGTCAATTTACATCCATAACATTAAGGACATGAAGCTTTTGAAGACTATTCTGGATACACCTCCAAATACAACAGGTAAGCACGGAAATAACTGGGTGAAAAGGTTTGATCAGCTCTGCAGGAGCTTTGCAGAGCCACTTGTGTTAGAATTTAAACCAACCTGTGGTTTGTGTATCCTAATTCAGCACTGGGGGGCTGGAAATATACAGAGGCAGTGAGTCGGGCTTGGGAGAGCAGAAATCCTGCTCTGTCCTAAGCAAATGCATCAAAGGAGAACAGAAATGGTCAGCGTGGTTTGACTTCATCTCCCAGGTTTGGTCCCTTCCTGTCCTCCCCCAGGGTGTCCCTCCAGCTCACAGCTTCTCACAGTGTGCCTTTATTCCCTTTCCCAAGCAGAAAGCTGGAAGGCAGGCAAGGACCACAAGCATCCCACCCTATATAGGACAACTTGAAACTCTCCCTCCGGGGCTCCCTGCCTTTCCTTCACGGTGCCCTGCGTCAGAGAATCCCACAGTGTTTTTTTCTCTCCAGAGAAAGGAGCCCCACTTCCTTGTGCTGCCAGCATGAGTCAGCTCTGCAGCGTCACGCTGTGCTGCAGAGCTCAGCACTCCCTGCAGACCTGTGGTTAACCCAGCTTCTCTTTTTGGCCATGGACATGCACTGCTCCATTAAGGTAGAAAGCTCCTGTGATTACTGATGGGCTTGGGGTCAGCTCTCAAAGTGATTAGCGCTGTGAAGATCACCCAGGACAGAAAAGACAGCCAGGCACAGCGTTAATTCCCTGCCAGGGAGTTCCCAGGAGCTTGGACTTGCCACTTGATCTTATTCCATATCTGCTGCAAACCCAAGGGGCAGGGCAGGTGGCTGCAGAACAGATCTTCTCTGTGTGGCATTGGGTGAATCCAGCTTCCCTGCTCATGGGAGAGGAGCTATTTTTAACCACGAAGAGGGAAACTTGGCCGGGCGCCTGCGGCGGCGCTGCCGTGCGTTGTGATATCCCGGTCGGTCGGTCGCAGGCTGCAGCGTCGTTTCATGGGTGGTTGATTGGGAAGTTGCTGACGTGCTCATGCCTGGCTTCTGGGTTTTCAAGGGATGTTCTTCTGGAGGATCCCCTGACCTACTTGAGGTCTCAACAGATGGTCTCTCCACGTGAATTAAACATACTAAATAGTGCAAATATCATTAAAGTTTAAAATCTTCCCGAGAAAGCCCAGCAGAGGCAGGAAGGGCAGGGATAGCCAGGCCTGAAGCTGGTTTGCAGTGGGGCTGAAATGAGCAGGTCATGGTTTAAGAGGAACAGCAATCAGTGCTCACCAGGCCAGGACCAGGCTGCTGTGGATCACAGGACTTCATAAGGGGCTTCATTTTTCAAAACCCTTTTACCACAGCAGCTGCTATTGAGATGAGCTGAGTGACAAGAGCTGTCCCACACGTGCTCCCTTTGTCCCCAGACCATCTGCTTTGGTCCCAAGCCTGACCCTGAGGACAGCATGTCCAGGAGGCCCTGGCAGTCCAGCCTCACCAGTCTTTGGACAACACTTTTTGGAACAGGGATCTGGTGGTGAGGGGGTGTAGGAGCACACAACAAGTGTGCCACCTTCCAAAGTGTGTGCCCTGGGCGTGGTAACACCAGCACGGTGGGGACTGGGATTTGCTGCACACCCACTGGCCAGTCACAGTGGGGTCCCTGGCTGTTCTTGGCCAGGACCTGGCTCCCAGTCCAGGTTCCTCCACGCAGGAGAGGAACATCCCCATGGTAGGAGAGCCTGTTGTTCTTTATGTGTGCTCAAGCACCCTATGGCTCATGTCAGGGGTGGGATTTGCACCGAGGAGGTCACAGTGGTGACATGCGTGCCATGGGGGCACATCTCAGGGTCAACTGCAGCTTTGGAAACCACCTCACATGGCTTCTCCCAAGCCCCAGATCCAACAGGACCTTCTGGCCTGGGGGCAAGGCCAGGCTTCTTGGATGCAGTAGCTTTTTTCCATGCTGCTCGAGGAAGCCACCAGCAATGCGTCATTCCTAGAGGTGCCATCCTGAGCAGCACCAGCCTGAGCCCACAACTGCATGTACCAACTCTTGTCAGGGCTGTGGGGCTGCTGAGAGCAGAGAAGCATCTTCAAAGGCTGGTCCCTTGTGATCCTTGTTCTTTGTGTGTCCCTGAGGTCAGCCCAGTACACTCACATCTGTGTTTTCCCCTGGCCTGGTTTCCCAGCCGCCTCTCCCAGCCAGGCGCGGAGCAGGGGAGCGGGTGACTCACACCAGCCGCTCAGAGCTTGCTTTGTTTTAACTTCAGCTTTCTCTAGATCCTCCGCTTAAAGAAAGGGCTACGCTGATCCCCCTGCGCTGCCTGGGCCAAGGGAAGACCATCCTGAAAAGACAGGATGCTCCTCATGAGCAAAAAGTCTCTGGGCTCTCTCTGCCTTCCTCCCACCCCTCTGTCTTTGGGTGCCTTTGAATCGCCTGCACTTTGCCGCTGCTGTGCCTCTTCTCCCCGGTGCACGACGTCCCTGGCATGATGTAAACCTCTCTGATTGATAGGGAGAGGATCCCTGGGGCCCCTGGCTGATCCTGCAGCTCCTGGCTCTGCTGCGGTCTCTTTGTTTAGTTATAAACAATGACCTAAAACGAGAACTTCAGCTGATCCTCCTCTGCTGCTGGGTCTGGGCCAGGGCCGTGTCCTGACACGACGGGTTGCACGGCATGTGTGCGCGCATCCGCGTCTGTACGTGCACGCGTGCGGGTGTCCTGTCTGGGGAGTCTGGCAGCGTCCCCAGCAGCCTTTAACCCCGCAGCTTCCTCCACACACGGGACTAAGTGGGACCCCCCCTCTCTGGTGGGAGCACAGGAAGCTCAGGTCGTGCTGAAGCCTTGAGTTGGATTTGGGAGGAGCGAGCACGCTGACGTGGTGCAGGAAACAAGTGAGACCTGTTTCTGTATGTGACAGGATTCACCGGGATGGGTCCTGAGCCAGCAGCAGAAATGGGAGGCAGGAAGAGATGCTCTTTTCTGAGGTCACCTGGGGGACAGGCGGATGGACACATCCATCCATCCCCGTCTCATCCTGTAATTCCTGCTCGCTTTGAAAGGGATGTTTGGGAACCTTTATGCTCACGTTGGCATAAAAACAGATGGCTCTTACAGGGAAGAATTCCCCCTGTGGTTAAAATTTAGCTAGGTTCGAGTTCCTCGTCAGCCAGAAGCTCCCTGCACAATTGTGGCATTTCCTTTGTCTTTCTCCATTTCCCTTTTCCATTCAGAGAAAAGGAAACCAAGCTGCCCAGCCCCGCAGCCGCTGCCTTGCCGTGTGCCAGCCTTCGTGTGCCAGCGCTGTGTCCCCACCGCATGGCTCACCTGAGCTTTTAACCCAGCACCTACACCCTGCACACATCTGGAGGTGCCCAGATGTGCCTGGACAGGAGTCCCCTTAGCTCTGAGACCAGGAGATCCCTTGCTGTGTTTCACTCACCTATTCTTGCCTTCTCAAAGGGGATGATGAAGCCGTGAGCGTGCCCAAAAGCAGGACGTGGGGCTGTTTGTGGAGGACAGTGGCTGGGAGGAGGAAGGAGCCGTACTGTCCCATACCAGCAGATGTCCCCATGGCCGAGGCATTGCCAGCACACAGCCTATGTGCACCCAGTGCCGGACACTGTCCCAAAATGAGACAAAGCCTGAACCCCCTGCAGTGTCCATGGCTGTGTTTCTGCTTTCTGTCCTCCACCAACAAACAACCTCAGCTGTGTCCTTCTTGCCTTGCCAGGTCTGTGTGCTCTCTCAATCAACCACGCCAACTCCTACTTGGCTTATCCCGGCAGTGCGACCAGCGGAGAGATCGCTCTTTACGACGGAAATACTTTGGTAAGTGCAGAGCTCGCCCCTTTGGATACCGGCAGGGACTGAAAACAAACAGAACCACAGCAAAGCCAACAAGGCCTTTGGGAAGGATGAATAAATCCACTCCACTGAGTTAGACTGCAAGGGAATTGCCTGGGGGCAGGCACGTTCCTCAACCCCCTTGCTTGGACACCATGTGAAGCAGACAGCCTCTGAGATCAGAACATCCAGCCGTTTATAGTTCCAGACAAACTTAAGGAAAAATTTCTTTACTGTGAGGGTGTCAGAGCCCTGGGACAGGCTGCCCAGAGAGGTTGTGGAGTCTCCATCTCTGGAGATGTTCAAAACCCACCTGGATGCTTTCCTGTGTAACCTGGTGTAGAGAACCTGCTTTGGCAGGGGGGTTGGACTCGATGATCTCCTGAGGTCCCTTCCAACCCCACCAGTCTGTGATCCTGTGATCTCCCAGTACAGGATATTAAGGGAAACATGACCTGTTACCCCACAGCCCGAGGAGTTCCTATAGGGTGTTCCTATAGTGGCTTCAGCAGCGTATCCCATGGGATTGATGTGACCAGGGTGGCTCAGGGAGGGTTGGAGCTGCTCCAGGCGCAGCACAGGACCTGGAGCAGCTGCTTTGCTATGCTGCAGGCTGGAAGGGATGCCAGACCCCAAGTTATGAAGAGGGTGAGCCATCCAAAGATCCCCTCAGGAAATCTGTCCCTGGCTGGAAGCAAGGTCATGATTATCTGCTGTTTATGCCAGGGCTTTGGATTACATAAGGCTGTCACTCTGTACGTGCAGCGGGAGCTAAGGATCTGCAGCAGGGGAGGAGCAGAACACGAGGGGAGAACATGCTGCTGCTGTGAGAGGTACTAGAGAGGCCCTGGGCTCCCTGCAGGTATCAGGCTGGTGTCACTGCAGCAGGATTTGCTGTACAACTGAGGGAACTGCAGGGAGGTCAACTCTGTCTCTGCACAAAGAAATGCCAGGCTTCCGAGAGGGTGATCCCACAGCCTGGAGAGGTGGGGAGCTGAGGACCTCTTCCCCTGAAGTGAGCTTTCTGTAATCACCGTGACCGTAGTAGGTGGGGAATGAGCTCAAGGTGGGACAGAGATAAATACTGAGGATGTTGAAGGGGTACCAGAGTGTGATACGATCCCATGAATCCATATCTGCAGGCCTGGACAGGGTGCAAGGCAGGGAACGCCCTGCCCTTAACGCAGTCCGAGGAGCAACGTGTCTCTTTGTACTCACATTACCTTCTGCCCTCCAGAAAACAGCCTGCACAATTCCTGCCCACGACGGGCCTCTGGCTGCTCTCGCCTTCAACTCCACTGGCTCCAAGTTGGCAAGTGCTTCTGAAAAAGTGAGTGAATGCTGCTGTGAGCACCCTCCCTGCTGCCTGTGCTCTCTGCTCGTGGCTGGCAGGGGGGTCCCAGCAAGCCCAGCTGCCTGAGGACAGAGAGCAGGACCTCTGAGCTGCCCTTTCTTAAACACAACCAAGAGAGGAGGGGCACTAAAAGGACTCTGACTTTTAAGACACCGGTGTATCTGGTTCAGATTGACCCTGGCTGGCAAACAGGAGGGGCCTTTGCACGTCCCAAGTTTCCTGGGTGTGTCAAAGAAAGGGCTGGCGCTCTTTGCCCTGCTCCTATGTGATCTTTCCATGTGCATTTTTTGCAGGGCACAGTCATTCGTGTATTTTCCATTCCTGGTGGGCAAAAACTGTATGAATTCCGGCGAGGGATGAAAAGGTCAGTTCATTCTTCTGTCGGTGACAAGTATACAGAGGACTCCCGGAGCAGAAATATAAACACAGGGACAGGGCAACGTCAGATCCTGGTGGCTTTGGCATCTTTTGCAGAAAGAAAACAAGAGCGAGCGTATCAGATAGAAATGTCATTGTGCCAGACAGCCGCGCTGCGCCCAGCTGCCTCCGGCAAGTTTAGTGATTCAATTCAGTGTGTCACAGAACAGGGCAATTGCAGAGAACAGAGATAGATTCTGTCCATTTACTCTGTCCTTTCTTGTTTCTTACTTCAAATAATGAAGTCCCCAAAGTTATCAGCCCAATTCTTGCCCTCTCAAAGGAAGGGTTTGGAAGCTACTAAGTCATTCGTGCAGAGCCCAAGTCTCCATGGCAGGGCTGGGCTGTTGCTGCTCTTCTGCAAGCTCCCTCCAACATTTTCAATAGATCTTTTCCTGACTTTTCCCCATCCCTGACCTGCCTGTGATTTCACACCCACTTCTGCAAGGACAAAAAGTGCCGTGACTGAGACACTTTGGCTCTGCTGAGCCTACTCAGGAGATGCCGCATGCATCTGGCTACCCAGCACTTTGGATATCCTCCCTGGCCTTTGCGGTACCAGAAGCTTTAGCTGCTGTAACGAGGCCGGAACAGATGTTCACTCCACAGCCAGCTCTGTGAGCAAAGATGTTTCCACCTCTCTGGCTGTTTGTCACTACCTCAAGGTTCCCCTCAGCTCTGCTGAGCAAAGGGACTTGGGGAAATGCCAGTCAGGCAGCCTGTGGGACTGGCAGCAGCCAGGCAGGGTGCTCCTCGCTGTATATGGGTCCATTTCCTCCTTGTCCTCTTCTCTGTGAGCAAAATGGAGCAGTTCCCCTTGAATGGTAGGCCATGAAGTGACCACTCTTGTCTTTGCTTTGCCCTAGGTACGTGAACATCAGCTCTCTGGTGTTCAGCATGGATTCCCAGTTCCTTTGTGCTTCCAGCAACACGGAGACAGTGCACATCTTTAAACTAGAGCATCTCACTGACAGGTGAGGGGGTTAGCCTGGTTTAACCTGCCTGCCCCAGGGGTGTCTCTGCTTCAGACATCTGCCTGTACACAGCTGGCCTCCATTTCCTCACCACCTACTTTCCATGAGCAATACCAGCTGTAAACCATCTCTTTGTGTCCTGCGGGATTCACTCCTTGGAAAAGCTACACACTGCATCCCTGCGGCCAGCCTCTCCAGGCCTGCTCTGGGTTTGTTAGCTGCCACTGTCCCCTGCCTCCATCCCAGGTATCCAGCTAGGCTGGTGCACAGTGTGTGCAGGTGCTCCAAAGAAAGCGTTTGCGTATCTGAGATCAGGATCATTTAGGCCTTTCCTGGTCTGGTTTGTGATGACTGATTGTGGTAACCTCACTGATGCTGCTTTGTGACCCCTCTCAGCCGGCCAGAAGAGCCTCCAACTTGGAGCGGTTACATGGGAAAGATGTTCCAGGCTGCTACCAACTACCTCCCTGCTCAGGTATCAGGCATGATGAACCAGGATCGAGCCTTTGCCACTGTCCGCCTGAACATCTCTGGACAAAGGAACATCTGTGCCCTCTCCACGTATGTATTGTCATCTGTGTGACCTCTCCACGTATGTATTGTCATCTGTGTGACCTCTCCACGTATGTATTGTCATCTGTGTGACCTCTCCACGTATGTATTGTCATCTGTGTCCCCTCTGTGAGCAGACTCAGCTATCTCTGCAGAACACCAGCGCTGTGGCCCCTTATCTTGCCCCCGTGCCTGCAGAGCACCCAGTGTGGGTGGGTGCTCTATCTGCGTGCGAGTGTGTTTGGACTCATGATGCTTTTCTCATTAGGATTCAGAAGCTGCCTCGACTGTTGGTCACCACGTCAGATGGACATCTCTATATCTATAACTTGGACCCGCAAGATGGAGGGGAGTGTGTCTTAATTAAGAAACACAGGTAACTAATAACCTTCAGACACATCTGATACAGAGGCTGATCATCTTTGTAAGAAATTAAGGGAGATTTCACCTGGAAGCACAAAATAGAGCAGTGGGAGCAAGAATGTTAGAACTGACTTGGTGATTTTAGCTGCCTGATCCACCAGACGTGGGTGGGAACCACGTCAGCAGGCAGGGACGTGAGGCTTCTTGCAGAAGAAACCAGAGACATCTCAGATCCCTAGGCAGTTGTTGGACATCTCAGCTTAAGACAGCAGAGGTGGGCAGGCTCTGCTTTAGGAGATGCCACCAGCAGCTGAGCACTGACCGTGGCGGTGGAAGGAGAGCAGAGGACCTTCTGCAGGTGTGAGTGGGTGCTGGAGAGTTGACTTTGGAGGGGGTGGGATGGTGTGGAGCGAGGCTGGGAGCTTCCGTAAACAAAAACTCACACGGATGCAGGCATGCAGTGCCAAAGCAGAGTCTTCCATGCTGCTGTTCAGTTTGTATGCAAATCTCATTAAGCACATAACCCCCCCTCCACACACACATACACACACACACACATCTGGGCTACTTGGCTCCAGATGTGAAGCCTTTTGGGGTGGGGTGCGATGTAACATGTGCTCTAAGCCGAGAGGTGGCTGCCAGCCAGGAAAATGCCAGCAGTTTTTTGAAACAAAACAAAACAAAAACAACCAAAAAAACCTCCAAACAACAAAAAAAAATACAAACCCACAAAACAAAAGCACTTCAAAGCTGCGCTGTCCAGCGTGCTCCGGCCGCCCCGCCGCCTTCAGACACCGCTGACGCCCGCCTGCTCCCATCCCGAAGTGGCCGTCCGGAGCTGGCAGGACAGCTTGCTATGTGGGTTCCTCTTAGCATCAGAGGACTGAAAAGGGCCCTTGGGTCATGAGTTATGTTACATCACACTATATCTCTGCTCAAACTCCCATCCTAAACTAGCCCGGGCTGCTTTTCTCATCTAGTCTGCTCCTGTTGGAAGCCCTTTGGAGCCCCCTCTGTGATTAGAAACACTGTTTGCCTTTGTAACCTAAAGCTTTTGTGGTCAATCTGTTCCCTTCTGTTCTCGTGCCAGCATTGTCCTCTAGCCGAAATAGTGCTTTCCCTATCTTCTGCTTCCCTCCCTGCTTTACTTGTGGAGCACAATGCTCTCCTCCTCTGCAGCACTGCTAGGGCCGCAGGCAGTGCCTAGATGCAGTGATGAAGATGGGTGATGTGCTTCTAGGAGATGTGGATGCATGTGCTTGTCTTAGCTGGTGCTGGGGGAGGAATGGTTGAGATCAGAACTACCTCTTTCCCCTCTCTTGCTTCTGTACAATTAGTCTGCTTGGCTCAGGAAAGATGGAGGAGAACAAAGAGAACGACCTTCGGCCTCCATTACCTCAATCTTACGCAGCGACTGTGGCCAGACAAAGCACAGTGCCTTCAACTTCAACCATGCCAGGTAAGCATCACATCTGCCCTTCCTCAGGCAGAAACAAGAAAGCTACCTGGGGCAAAGTGGAAAGTCTGCCAACTTCCAAGGGTTCAACCAGAAACACCACTTACGCAATGCGGACTGGGGCAG